CAATTACCTTTCTAATGGCTGAGTCTCGACGTTGCGCTTCACCGATCTCCTTCTTGCTCAATGGTCCCATACTTGCACTCTTATCTTCAGGTGGTAGACTGTCAATGTTCGTAGTGATAGCACTTATCCATGTGGCATCTCCTTGATCAACCGCCTGCATGGCCTGGGTGGTGGCACTCAGTACATCACCACTCACTTCTTCTGTGCAGGTAGCCATAAACCGCTCAGCATCTCCTGGACTTGGACGTGGTACTCTTGACAGCACATCTGCGTCTGCATTGGCTTTCCCAGGTCGGTACTTGATGCTGAAGTTATAGTCCGCCAACTCTGCCACCCATCGGTGACCTGTCGCATTCAACTTGGCCGTACTCAGAACGTAGGTGAGGGGGTTATTGTCGGTATACACTTCGAACGATGGTGCGTAGTACAGATAGTCCCGGAACTTTTCAGTGACAGCCCACTTCAAGGCGAGAAACTCGAGCTTCCCTGAATGGAGGTGGTAGTTCTTCTCCGCCTGAGTCAGGGTCCTCGATCCATAGGCTATTACCCGCAGCTTCCCTTCACTTTGCTGGTACAATACAGCACCGAGACCCTGAGCTGATGCATCAGTGTGCAGTACAAAGGGTCGCTCGAAATCTGGGTATGCCATCACTGGTGGGCTAGTCAGCTGTTCCGTGAGTTGGCAGAGTATTCTCTGGTGTTCTTCTGTCCACTTGATTGGTTGTTTTGGGGCATGATTTGACAGCAAATCATACAGGGGCTTGGCAATCTGACTGAAGTTCTTAATGTATGTCCGGTAGTACCCAAGGAATCCCAGCAGCTTCCGCACATCCCCTACTGTGGTAGGTGTTTTCTCCTTCAGCGCATTGACAGCTGCCGTGTCCTCGGGGTCCATGGTGTAGCCCTCAGCAGTTACTAATTTCCCCACGTATCTCACTTGCCGCCTGAACATGATGCACTTCTTTGGTTTAAGCTTGCACCCGTGCTCCTGAAGGCGACGTAAGACCCTCCTGTTCCGCTCAACATGGGATTCAAACGTGTCACTATGGACCATGGTATCGTCCATATAGGGTTCACAGATCACGTGGCTCAGGCCTTCTAATACCTCTTCCATGTGTCTCTGATATGCTGGAGGTCCGTTCTTAAGACCGAAGGGAATTCGAACCCATTCGTACAAGCCGTATGGAGTAACGAACGCTGTGAACTCCCGACTTTCCTCATCCATGTAGCCTTGATGGTAGGCCTTACCCTGATCCAGGACGGAAAACCAGGTGCTTCCTTTCAGGCGGTTCAAGATGTCTTGAATCCTCGGTAGTGGTTGCCTGTCTGACATTGTCTTCTCGTTCAAGGCGCGGTAGTCAATGCAGAGCCTCATGCTCCCATCCTTCTTTCGAACGCATACCATCGGAGAGGAGTAGGGTGACTTTGATTTGGTAATCCACCCCTGGTTGATGAGGTCCTCAATATACTCCCTCGGATGGAGACGTAATTCTTTTGCACTGGCTCTGTGTCAAGTTGAGTTTCAGCTTGAGACCTTCAATACTGCCGATATCAGACTCATCTCGAGAAAATGCACCTGATTCCTCCCGGAGCATCTGTTTCACAATCTTCCTCTGCTCCTCGCTCAAGTGTGACAGGTCAACTGGAGGGTCCCACAACTCATCTTCTGCCTGAACCGTATTTACTTGAGCTTGCTGTGGTGTTTGCTGTGGTTCTTCGCTCACTGGTCTCCTGTCCTCAGTTGTTGGGTGTTGAGATCTCTCAGGCACTCTCCTTAGCTCAACCGGTACTGCTGATCGTATTGGTTCAGCTCGACCCAACACTGTCTTTGCCGGCAGATAGACATCATATTGGTTGGAATTAGTTACAGGCACCTTGATCATCCCCGTTGAGTTAACTGGGATGAGTGCCGGTCCCACCTCCAGGCCCGTGGGCCAATCACCGGCTTCATCTGGTTCAAACAGCATGATCTGTTTCTCCTCCACTGAGCCGCGAGGAATCCTGCACCTAACTTGAACTGTTGCCCCTCGTGGTAGCCGAACTCTCTTCCTGCCGACCCGCACTCCTGCCGGGTTCGGGACGCTGAACTCTTCTATCAAGTTAACCAGGGCCGCCGCCCTCTGTGGCCGAACCGGCAGCGCCCTCGACAGCAGTAGAGAGATAGTCTCCACCAGACTTCTTTTGCGGGCTGAATAAATCGTACAAATCGGCCTAAAAGGGTCGTCAATGGCCGGCTACCTTCTCTCGCCAATTAATACCCTTTTTAGGCCGATTTCTACGATTTATTCAACCCGGAAAAGAAGTCTGGTGGAGACTAGTAGTAAGATAGCCTGGCAGTATAGGGTGTACAAGTATACATTTATAGAATCTGAGGTTTCTATTTACTCCGAAATACTTATATTCGCTGGCATTTATAATATGGCAATAGTGTGATGTTAATGTTAACTACCCATCACCAAGATTCTCAATATAAAATAGGATACACATCACGTATATATACTGCCTGATTTGTTATTGCACATGATAGTATTCCAGTAAAACTATATCCAAAAGTTATTGCTCATGGAATCCAACAGTAAGTCCTCTGTGTAACAGTTTTGTCAGTCATTGGGTCCTGGGTAGGTTAAACTTAGCCAGGAACCTGGTACGTAGCCTCTACCAGGCTCCAGGTAGCGGTTATATAGACTAGAAATCGGACAGGAAGACAGGTATCATACCAGGGGAGTTGGTCCGCTAGAGGGTACATTTTGTGCGGTAAACTGTTCTCTCTGGCGGACTAACTCCCCTGGTATGATACCTGTCTTTCTGCCCGATTTCTACTCTATCCAGCCGCTTCCTGAAGCCTGGTATAGGCTAGAGGCAAGATCGTTTTCGGGCCCTGTAATATGCAACTGAAGATACATTTAGTTAATCTTTTCTAGAATTTGAGCTTCACATTGGCCCGATAGTCACAAATATGTATCTAGTGAAACGCTATGGCATGTCTGTTCATGCACACAGTTTCTCATAGACATAGTTTTTGTCATATTCATCATCATCACCATCATATCGTCAATTGTCTTTCTTTTGTCTTCAACAATGGAAGTGAAAACTAATAACATGATCATCATCAGGTCTGGAGTGAGAGATGAGCGGATGTGCCTGTGTTGCAGGAACAGGGTATGTTTGGGCATGCCTTGTTATCTCTTTTGTCTCAAGTCAAGTATCAACGATTAAAGTGTGAATCCAAGCGAACGCTGAAAGCATTATCAGCGTCAGTGAGAGCTGAACAGTTGTCCCCGTGTTGTAGGAACAGGGAATGTTTTCTTTTCTCAAGTCAAGTGAAGTATCAACAATGAAAGTGTGAATCCCAGTGTTCTAGGAACAAGGTAATACTACGTTTTCTTTTGTCTTCTCAAGTATCAATTATACATATACTCTGTGCGTAAGATAACGCTATCCACACATGTATTTAGCTTTGTTAGATCTTTAGTTAAATTGTAGAAGACCATACAAAAGTCTCTGTACTTTTTTTGTTGTGTCAACAAAGAATCTCAATTATCTTCTCAACTATCAACAATGAAAGTATGAATCAGCTTGATCATGGCAGTCAGTGAGAGCTGTACAGTTGTCCCCGTGTTGTAGGAACAGGGTATGTTTTCTTTTCTCAAGTCAAGTATCAACAATGGAAGTGTGAATCAGCTTGATCGTGACAGTAAGCATGGCCATGACAGTCAGTGAGAGCTGTACAGTTGTCCCCGTGTTGTAGGAACATGGTATGTTGATGTCCTTGACGATGGGACACTTCCTGGGCCGGGCCAGCGTATTCTGGTCGTCCGTGTGCGCGCAGGTGCCGTTGATGATCCGGAAGGCTCCGGAGTCCGCGATTCTGTGAGGGGAGAAACATCGAGAGAAACGTTAGCTCTTGCTGTTGCATGTATATCAGGGCTCGAAATTAAAGGTGGTCCAGTGGCCACTGACTACTAAAATTTAGGCTGGGACAACTAAAAAGACACTTTGGGATATTTTGAGGACAATAGAAAAATATTCAACATCAGAATGTCAGCCCTTCTTTTGTTTATCAGGAACACGTTCCGGCTTTTGGATCCGGAAAAGTTCCCCCAAATTATCTGTCTACTCTGCAATTATAGCGCGCCTGGGAGTTAACTTCAGCAAAAGTTGACTTCAAGTTGAAGTCATACAATACTTCCCAAAACAGGCTGGGACAGTTCATCCTCACTTCGGGACAATCAAAATGTTATTTTTGGAACGTATGTAATAATACGGCCATCCACGAGTTGCACAAAAGGCAGCTAACCCTAGCCTACCCCCCTATCGTTTGTCAATGGAACATTCCGGAAACTCCCGCTCACCAGGTGAGGTCATACCTGGACACTTCCGCTTTCGCGGCGTCAGTCGCTGGTAGGAACCACTACTTTTACCTGCAACCTGAGGATCAAGGGTGTTCTTTGTCCTGCAATAAGGCTTTTATCTTTCATCCTTATAGCTGTATTGAGAACAACACCGGCCTGAGAAGACTGAAAAAGGTGCGTAAACTAAGGTTATAGTGTATGTCAGAAAAAGTACGATGTTACTGGTCAATCTAAGGCGCCCCTTGAAAACACGAAGAACAGATCTAACGATTGTCCTGCAATAAGCCTAGGCTATATTATCCTTTGTCCTTAATACCTGTATTAAGAACAACATCGGTCAAAGAAGACTGAAAAGTGTATGTAACGTTAACGTTATAAGTTATACAGGTATATTGACTGACGTTATATGTTGGCTGCGTGCCGCAATGTACGCCGGAAAAAGTACTATACCCCGACATTATATTGGTCAATCTAGGAAGCCAGATCTACGGTATCTAAACGGTATCTAAACATTAAAACAGTCCAGAGTCCAATTAATGCTATGCCAAGATTCGGAATGCAACTAACTGGAAAGCACGTTGTATTCCAAAGCATAACGTTTAGAATAACACCATTTGGAATGCATCACGTGTTGCCAGGTAACGGTAGGGGAATCCCCTGACTCACTGGTAAGTCCAATGACGCTGGGCTCGCTTGGCGGCTCAATCGGTAGTAGTTATAAGAAATGACGGCGCCTTATGACACCATATTCACCTCGGAGCGACATTAAACCTTGATTAAAAACTTTTTTTAGGGATATGCGTACATGACGATTAGCTGATTCTTTACCATGTTTACAGAATGGGTACAAGGCAGAGTAAAGCATCGAACAGCAGCGTGACAACACAGAACGGCGATGACAGGTTTGTCACTTACTCGTATTAGGCCATGTTGATTTGATTATATGGATGACATCCGCGCGCGCATGAATTTTCGGCCGTTTCCAAAAAAAAAAAAAGTTTTCAACCATACTGTAAATCGTACAAAACAGTTGCAAAATGAGCAAAAATATACCATACGTTCCAAAAAAATTAATAAAAACTATACCAATGTCGTAGAATGCCAAAATCAAACGAAAAAAGACGAAATTGTAAAGAAATGAACTTGAAGACTAGATTATTCGCCAAACCATATTCTGTGCCATTTGCTCAACCCTCATGACCACGTAGATTTCATAATGAAAAGAACTTTTTTTTTTTGCAAAACTTTTTTATTATTCGCACGCGCGCATCAGTTTTAGGGTTCCCAGAGGATGTCATCCATATAATCAAATCAACATGGCCTTAGGTAACAAGTGTAATTCACCAGTTCCCTACTTTGCTAGACTGTGATGCCGAACGACTCGAATACAGCGCACGCAGGATTTTTTAAGATTTGAATTGTTGTTAAATGTTGTTTGTGGTTATGAGTATTTTTAGTGTAATTCAGAATTGTGATTTAAAGCACATGTAAATGAGTGTGTAATTGAGTTGGCAGACTGTGAAATGCTTCACAGTTGGCTCCCAACATAATTTTGTAAGCAGTTTTGAACTCGGTTGAGGCAGTTATAAGGGAGCTCTGGAAAGATCCAGCCTAGATGTGACCCCACCATATGACACCATATTCACCTCAGGGTGGGTCATTAAGCCTTTATTAAAAACTTTTAAGGATACTTGATTATTACAATTAGCTGTTTCTTTACAGAATGGCTACAAGACAGGGTGAAGTCTCAGACAGCAGAGTGACAACACAGGACGGCGATGACAGGTTTGTCACTCACTCGTATCAGACAACAAGTATAATTCACCAGTTTCCTACTTTGTTAGACTGCTGAATGATTCGAATACAGCCGGATTGTGCAGCACGGAGGGTTTTTAAGATTTCAATTGTTGTTAAATACTGTTCTTAATTTTGAGTATTTTTAGTGTAATTCAGAATTGTGATTTTAAGTACATGTAAAGGAGTGTGTAATTCAGTTTACAGACTGTGAAATGCTTCACAGCTAGCTCCTAACATAATTTTGTAAGTCGTTTTGAACTCGGTGGAGGCAGTTAAGGGAGCTCTAGATCTGGAAAGCCCTGCATGATGTGATGCCACCTTATGACACCATTAGAATGGTTGATTATGCGATACAAACTCACCGCAGCTTATGAGCTTAAATGCGAGTTCATGTTCACATACAAATTTTCACAGGATGACATATACACCTCAGAACGGGTCATCATTCACCCTTTATTAAAAACTTTTAAGGATATGCGATTATGACAATTAGCTGTTTCTTTACAGAATGGCTACAAGCCAGAGTGAAGTCTCCAACAGCAGCGTGACAACACAGGACGGCGATGACAGGTTTGTCACTTACTCGCATTAACAACAAGACTTAGTGTAATTGACAAGTTCCCTACTTTGATAGACTGCTGAATGATTCGAATACAGCCTGATTGTGCAGCATGGGGGATTTTTTTTTGTTAATATATGATTTTATGTACATGTAAAGGAGTCTGTAATTCAGTTGGCAGACTGTGAAATGCTTTACAGCTCCCAACGTAAGCGGTTTTGAACTCGGTTGAGGTAGTCAAGCGAGCTCTGGAAAGCTCCAGCCCAGATGTTACCCACCGTATGCACCATATTCACCTCGGGGTGGGTCATTATCCATGGATATGTGATTATGGCAATTAGCTGTTTCTTTACAGAATGGCTACAAGGCAGAATGAAGTCTCCAACAGCAGTGTGACAACACAGGACGGCGATGACAGGTTTGTCACTTACTCGCATTAGACAAGTGTAAAATAGGGCCTTTTGCGTTTAATGCCTGGCACATATCGACGATAAGTTTACACTTGATATTCATGGTACTTGAAGTAGTTTATAAGGCTTTACCCCCAAAACACATATGATTCCCATGAGTACATTTTGTAATTATTTTTGTTGTTTATTTTTTTTCGTTCGCATTGATTTATGAGCATTAGGTAGCAACCATCAATGAATGTGCTTAAAAGATCCTCTGCTCAAGAACATAAAATATACTTTTTATACACATAATTTTATGTTGTTCATATCAAATTATATGGCAACCATTTTTGCCACATTATTTTATTTTCTAAATTTGTTTGGCAGTAAAAAGACAATTTGTACAGCCAGGGCAGACCAACTAGCCAGAAGGCTATTATAAAAGGCTTACTCTGCTGACAAGACAAACATTTACATGTACATTACATTTGACACAGTATATACGAAGAACATCTACAAAACGGTTCCAGAGCCCTGCAGACTGGAGACCTGGACAAGGCAGAACAAAGCTTTGCATCTGCACTCAGGTCTGTTCATGGCAAAAGTAAGTGTTGTTGGGTATGAAATATGTTAAAAGTGTCACATCAATGTTTTTCCGTTCAATGCTTCATCAGGTTGGTAAGTCACTGAGTAAAGATACTCTTTCTACACAACCAAGTGTTTTATTCAGCCGGCGTTTCGGTGACAGTTTCCTTGAGGAAGGTAACATCCAGTCACCGAAATGTCGACTGAATAAAAGACTTAGAAAGGTTGTGTAGAAAGAGTTTCTTTACTTATTCATTGTTTTTGTCCACAAATGAAAACTATTTTACTGCAATCCTGTTGTCTCTCTACAAGATCATGATGTTTCAAAGTAAAGTTGTAATACGACAAAAAAGAACACCAATGATTGATTATGATTAATTAATTATCTATTTATTCATTTAATATTTATTAATGAGGTCTTTGTGTGCCTAGATAATAGCTTAAGTGTGTAGTGTCTGGTCTGTTAATATTCTTTATTTAGGAACAATGCCACAACGACACAAAAAAGAAGTACGAAAGTGTAAATATAGCGTAGCACATTTAAATTTGAATCAAGAGAAACTAATGTCAGATTACCATCAATAACTTTCATACTTTTAACAAATAAATTTTGCAGGTCAACACAGAGCCCCTGTAATACGACAAAAAAGAAACACCAATAACTAAGATCTTTCTGCACTGTGTAGATCTATTAGCATTGTTTATTCAGGAACGATGCCAAAACGTCTACTATACGAAAAAAAAATACAAATTAAAAGCGTTTCAATAGTATAGCACTTTTAAATTTGACTAACAATAACGTCAGATTAAAGTCAATAACTTTTAGATAATTTTTTGCAGGCCAACACAAGAAAGAGGCAGAGCCCCTGTACAGATTAAGTGACGTCTATCTTAAGAGAGGAGTCCAGTCAAAGGAGGGGGGAGACTTCACCAAGGCTGCAGCACTCTGTAATGCAGCACTGGTAAGAGCTGGGAGAGAAGATGCGGAGGAAACTGTACAGGAAATAACTAAAGTATTTGTGAAGGAAGTCCTGAAGATTGAACAGAAGGTAGAAAATGATGATACAGAGAAGCACAAATGTATGTTGAAGGCTGATAGGGACTACGTAGAAACAGAAATTAAAAGAATTGACAAAGACTCAGAGATAGATCCATACAGCCTTGATGACGAGGACCCAAAGATAAAAGAAGTGGAAATGAAGAGAGTGGAAGCAATCAAAGCTTTATTTCAGGCACTTGTTGGTAATCGTAATATGTTCATAGCTGGTCTTGTAGATGAATGTATTAAGGTGATGGGCCCCCCTCCCTGTAAGTACGCCATGATAGGCATGGGTTCACAAGCCACGGGATTGGTAACACCTTACTCTGATCTGGAGTTCGCCATTTTGGTAGAGGAGGAAACCGAGCATAATGTCACCTATTTCCGCAACCTCACTCATTATCTGCATCTCAAAGTGATCAATCTGGGAGAAACCATTCTCCCGGCCATGGGGATTAAGTCTCTGAATGATTTCTACTCAGACGACCCCCTGGACAACTGGTTTTATGACTCAGTAACACCGCGCGGTTTTGCGTTCGATGGAGCCATGCCGCATGCATGTAAGACTCCGTTGGGCAGGGGTAGAGACAGCACAGGAACAAGCGAACTCATCCGCACACCAAGCAATATGACCAACATTCTGACAGAGGACCTTACGTTCCATTTAAAGAAAGGCTACCATCTCGCCAGTATATTGGGGAATGTGACTTTTATCACAGGAGAACAGGACTTGGTCAGCGAGTATAGGTATTTGTGGACTCAGCAGCTTCTAGAAAATGATAGGAGAGTTCCTCTGTTAATGGCCACTACTGTACTGGATGATAATGTATCGACCTTTAAACATCAGACTCTCACTGCTAGTCTGATGAATGTGAAGAAAGATTTGTATCGATTTTCGAGCCTTGCAGTGTCCTTTTGGGCGCTACGTCATGACATACAGCCAACCACTATCTGGGAGACTATTCAGGAGATGAAAAACAGTGGAGTCATCAGTAATGAGAATGCACACCACTTAATGGTCATGGTCAGTATCTCAGCAGAACTGAGGCTGCGGACTTACATGAACAATCGTGGTCAGGTTGAAAATATGTCAGCCTTGTCATCTATGTTAACCGAAACAAGCATTGGGGAGGCGTTGAAGAAAGTGTTTTACGTCTCAAATACAAAGCAGCTATTAAGGTATTATTACACAGAAAGACCACTAAAACACTTTATTTCCAAGCTGACTGACCCTCATCAGCCTTTCGAAGAGTCTTCAATCTTCTATGACGATTCGCCAGAAGTGAAAGCTGAAGTATTCGAACTTCTGTGCGATTTCCAAAATTTTAAGACATATGCAGAAAAAGCACTGGACAATTATCTATCTAGGAATGGCAAACACACTGTAGACGGGAATGTCATCAACTTACTTAGCACATTGGGTAACGCCTGGATTGTCCTTGGGGATTACAGGAAGGCGGTCAGCTATTGCGAACAGTCACTACAGATGAGGCGGAGTATCTATGGCGATGGCACTAAACATTCTGATATTGCCGCCTCACTTAACAACTTGGGTGCCGCCTGGAGGTACCTTGGGGATTACAGGAAGGCGGTCAGCTATTACGAACAGTCACTACAGATGAGGCGGAGTATCTATGGCGAGGGCTCTGAGCATTCTGATATTGCCGCCTCACTTAACAACTTGGGTGAGGCCTGGAGTTACCTTGGGGATTACAGGAAGGCGGTCAGCTATCACGAACAGGCACTACAGATGAGGCAGAGTATCCATGGCGAGGGCACTGAGCATTCTGATATTGCTGCCTCACTTAATAACTTGGGTACCGCCTGGAGCAACCTTGGGGATTACAAGAAGGCGGTCAGCTATTACGAACAGTCACTACAGATGATGCGGAGTGTCTATGGCGAGGGCACAGAACATTCTGATATTGCCGCCTCACTTAACAACTTGGGTACCGCCTGGAGCAACCTTCAGGATTACAGAAAGGCGGTTAGCTATCACGAACAGTCACTACAGATTAAGCGGAGTATATATGGCGATGGCACTCAACATTCTAGTATTGCCGGCTCCCTTAACAACTTGGGTAATGCCTGGGGCAACCTTCAAGATTACAGGAAGGCGGTCAGCTATCACGAAGAGTCTGTGCAGATGAGGCGGGCTGTCTATGGCGAGGGCCCTGAACACTCTGATATTGCTGCCTCACTGAACAACTTGGGTACCGACTGGAGGAAGCTTGGGATTACAAGAAGGCGGTCAGCTATTACGAACAGTCACTACAGATGATGCGGAGTGTCTATGGCGAGGGCACAGAACATTCTGATATTGCCGCCTCACTTAACAACTTGGGTAACGCATATAGCAAGCTTGGGGATCACAGAAAGGCGGTCAGCTATTACAAACAGTCACTACAGATGAGGCAGAGTATCTATGGCGAGGGTACTGAACATTCTGATATAGCCGCCTCACTTCACAACTTGGGTAGCGCCTGGGACGACCTTGGGGATTACAGGAACGCGGTCAGCTATTACGAACAGTCACTGCAGGTGATGCGGAGTGTCTATGGCGAGGGCACTGACCATTCTGATATTGTCGCTTCACTTAACAACTTGGGTACCGCCTGGAGCAACCTTGGGGATTACAGGAAGGCGGTCAGCTATCACGAACAGGCACTACAGATGGAGCGGAGTATATATGGCGAGGGTACTGAGCATTCTGATATTGCCGACTCACTTAACAACTTGGGTAGTGCTTCGAGCAAGCTTGGGGATTACAGGAAGGCGGTCAGCTATTACGAACAGTCACTACAGATGAGGCGGAGTATCTATGGCGAGGGTACTGAACATTCTGATATTGCCGCCTCACTTAACAACTTGGGTACCGCCTGGAGCAACCTTCAGGATTACAGAAAGGCGGTTAGCTATCACGAACAGTCACTACAGATTAAGCGGAGTATATATGGCGATGGCACTCAACATTCTAGTATTGCCATCTCACTTAACAACTTGGGTAACGCCTGGAGTGACCTTAGGGATTACAGGAAGGCGGTCAACTATTACGAACAGTCACTAGAAATGAGGCGGAGTATATATGGCGAGGGTACTGAACATTCTGATATTGCCGACTCACTTAACAACTTGGGTACCGCCTGGAGCAAGCTTGGGGATTACAGCAAGTCGATCAGCTATCACGAACAGTCACTACAGATGAGGCGGAGTATCTATGGTGAGGGGACTGAGCATTCTGATATTGCCGCATCACTAAACGACTTGGGTAACGCCTGGAGCAACCTTGGGGATTACAGGAAGGCGGTCAGCTATTACGAACAGTCACTACAGATGAGGCGGAGTATCCATGGCGATGGCACTGGACATTCTGATATTGCCGACTCACTTAACAACTTGGGTAACGCCTGGAGAGACCTTGGGGATTACAGGAAGGCGGTCAGCTATCACGAACAGTCACTACAGATGAAGCGAAGTATCTATGGTGAAGGCACTGAACATTCTGATATTGCACACTCACTTAACAACCTGGGTAGCGCCTGGGACGACCTTGGAGATTACAGGAAGGCGGTCAGCTATCATGAACAGTCACTACAGATGAGGCGGAATATCTATGGCGAAGGCACTGAACATTCTGATATTGCACACTCACTTAACAACTTCGGTAACGCCTGGAGCAACCTTGGGGATTACAGGAAGGCGGTCAGCTATTACGAACAGTCGCTACAGATGAGGCGGAGTATCTATGGCGAGGGTACTGAACATTCTGATATTGCCGACTCACTGAACAACTTGGGTAACGCCTGGGGCGACTTTGGGGATTACAGGAAGGCGGTCAGCTATCACGAACAGTCATTACAGATGAGATGGAGTATCTATGGCGAGGGTACTGAACATTCTGATATTGCCGACTCACTTAACAACTTGGGTAACGCCTGGGACGACTTTGGGGATTACAGGAAGGCGGTCAGCTATCACGAACAGTCACTACAGATGAGGCGGAGTATCTATGGCGAGGGCACTGAACATTCTGATATTGCCGACTCACTTAACAACTTGGGTAACGCCTGGAGCAACCTTGGAGATTACAGGAAGGCGGTCAGCTATCACGAACAGTCACTACAGATGAGGCGGAGTATCTATGGCGAGGGCACTGAGCATTCTGATATTGCCGATTCACTTTACAATTTGGGTATCGTCTGGAATCACCTTGGGGATTACAGGAAGGCGGTTAGCTATCACGAACAGTCTCTGCAGATGAAGCGGGGTGTCTATGGCGAGGGCACTGAACACTCTGATATTGCCGCCTCACTCAACAACCTGGGTACCGACTGGAGGAAGCTTGGGGATTACAGGAAGGCGGTCAGCTATTACGAACAGGCACTACAGATGAGGCGGAGTATCTATGGTGAGGACAGTGCCCATCCAGATATTGTCTGCTCACTCAGCAAGTTGTGCGTTGCCTGGAGAGACCTTGGCGATTACAAAAAGGCCATCGAATATTTACATAAGAAGAAACAGATTGAACAGATGATCGGAACCTCAGCTGAGTAATCAGTACAAACATGTCCCATTCTTAGTAGCTGTGTATGAACTCCTCTACCAAAGTTGATGTACTTTTACTTAGCAACATTTTGTAAAGAGAGCAGATAAAGGGAGTAAGATTACAGCGCAATCATATTGGACTGTTGGGCACTAATAGTACAAATCAGTTAAATGTAATCTGTAACTTACGAAGAGATCGACTCATTTAGTTAAAATTTTAACTTTATTAGCAACATCTTATTACCCTGCCGATGAGTCGATTCTATGACAGGAATACAACGCATGCGACATGGGTAGCTTAGGTCTAACGAACAGTTATGAAGTGATGTGTTGCTCTCCAAGTAGAGGTTTGGGGTTTTGGGTTATTTTGGCGTGTTTCTTTTTTTTTAATCGGGGTTTCTTTTTGCACTTTTTTTTTGGGGGGGGAGGGAGCGATAAAATTCTAGTGCAAAAAAAGATAGAAAAGCTTAAAAATGCGCAAAAAATAACCTACAACCCAAAGCCTAGGAAGAATATTGTGAAATTCACACTAATGGAGATCCTAAACAAACAAACAAACAAACAAACAAACAAACAAACAAACCTTTTTCAGCGATCTCTTGTAGGAGCAACACTCAGTAGATTTAATGCTCACTACAACTTTGACCTTCCTTGCTCATTGTCCATGTCATGTGTTTGCGCCTCCTGCACGGCTTTACGACCTCATTAGTATTATTGCTAGCTTTTAATCATTGCCATTTTTTGTATATAATGTATGATATTTCATGACATTTTACAGTATTTCATATTTTAATGTATGATATTGTAGGTAAAGGGGCCACTGAGAGGTAAATATACTAATTTTGTGGTATTTTGTAAATATGTCCTATAATAATTATTGTAACAACTGAAGGCCTTGTTAATGGTTAGGTGCACAGTTAATAATGGTTAGGTACAATGTAAGTGTTAGGTGCACAGTTGTTAAGCTTGCATCGCATTAATATTGTTATTGCACATTCTACATACTAGTTATATTGCTTCATGTTCCTCTCTTTTTTTTTAATATGATGTATTAACTTTTACCTCAAAACTTAAAAATTGAGCCACTTCAAACATCCCATTACAAAAGCAAGACGACCAAAATTGCATTGCTGTATACTAAATAAAAGCAGTCAATATGAATGAAGTTGGCCTGACTTCCACATGCTTCTAGTAGCCCCTCCATTGGTCGGGCCCTTAGCCTGGCTACCATCCGGATTTTTGCTCCGCAACGCTGGAAAAAGTTATGTCGTGGAGTGGAAATCCGGATGGTACCCAGGCTAACCCATTCTAGTCGGGCCCCTTGAAGCTTGATGGCCAACACCTCTAAGTCAGGAGAATTGGGGAACATCTTTAGTACTGTTGATTTATGCATTTGTGCTAACACGTACTCTCCAAGTAGAGGTTGTGCGGGAATGACCGTTACCTTTTATATATGGCCGTCTTTTTTTTTTCGCTACCCCCACCGTTGGGGCTGCCGACCTTCTCTGGCTAATGGATACTGCCTGGCCAATTTGATACTGTCTTTTTGCCACCGAAAGGGATCTGCTTGGAGATTACTAACATGGACCAACTATTGTTAGACCTTCTATTTCCATAGTGTTGGAAGCAGGCTAGATCTTAGATGGAAGTCTCCAAGTTGTAGGTTAACATTGCCCACATTACGTTTCACAAAATATACATGTACTAGGTGTATTGGTTGAAAAATTGCCCACCATTTCAAGCAGTGACGGAAGTCGATTCTAGTCAAGGCATTTAGTGTGTAGTAGTGTATGAACAACGGTTTAAGTTTTTGTGCAACATTGCATCTCCCTAACCCCAACATTATTCATTCGTTCTTCTGATCAGATAGTATTTTGCTGAGTACCTGCAATAGCAATAGTTCTGACTGTAATTTACTGTTCTTTATCTGTTAACATCATAATAAAGGCAAGTGAACACTCAAGAAAGTTGTGTTTTTGAGGTAATTTGTATTTTACAAACGGTTTATTATATGGCAGGAAATAACCCTCTTTTTCTTGCTTGTTTGACATACATCTAGGAAGTTTACATTATGAACATGTATGAAGCTTACATAATATATACATGTTTGAACATAATTGTCTGAAGCTTACATACTATATACATGTATAAACATAATTGTCTACCAAATTGACTAATAAAAGCAGGCAAAAGTCTGCAGATCTGATCAAAACAGAATATCTGTATAGTCAGGTCAATTATAACAAAGTATGAAACATAAATCTCTATACATGCATATAATAAATTCCTGTTGATCAAATTTGTAAACTACATGTAGTGAGATAGTCTCCACCAGACTTCTTTTGCGGGCTGAATAAATCGTAGAAATCGGCCTAAAAAGGGCCCATTGGGTCGTCGATGGCCGGCTACCTTCTCTCGCCGATACCCTTTTTAGGCCGATTTCTACGATTTATTCAGCCTGCAAAAGACGTCTGGTGGAGACTAGTATATAGTAAGATAGCCTGGCAGTATAGAGTGAAAAAGTATACATTTAGAGTCTGAGGTTTCTATTTACTCCGAAATACTTATAGTTGCTGGCATTTATAATATGGCAATAGCGTGATGTTAGTGTTAACTACCCATCACCATGATTCTCATATAAAATAGGATGCACATCACAATTTGTTATTGCACATGATATTATTCCAGTAAAACTATATCATCTAAAAGTTATTGCTCATAGAATCCAACAGTAAGTCCTCTGTGTAGCAGTATACGAGGGGTGTTCAAAAAGTTCTCGGCCTCACCTAGAAAACGTCAGGGCAGTAAAATTTTTCTTAAACTATTTTATAATATAGTTCTCTCTAACTGCAATGCACTTGGTCCAGTGATGTTCTCGCTGTATTTTCCCCTTGTGGAAGAAGGTTGCATCTGGACCCCCCAGATAGGCCTATATCGCATAGATGACGTCATCATTACCATCAAAACGTTGACCACGTAAGTGGAACTTGAGTTTAGGAAACAGGTAGAAGTCCACGGGTGCTAGGTCAGGTGAATTGGAGGAGTGGGGTTAGACTGCAAACCCAAATTCGTTTGCTGCTGTCGCTGACCCCTGTGCTGTGAGGACAGGTGCATTTTCATCACGCCAGCTCGGTACTTTCCTCTCCTTTTCTCTTTGATCGTTGTTCTCAACTGTCGTAATTCTGTTGAATAGTACTCCCCATTGATGCTTTAACCCCCTCGCATGTAGTCAATCATGATTACTTCCTTACTGTCCCAGAAAACAGAGGCAAAAACCCTGTCAACGGATGAAACTCGATAAAACTTCTTTGGGGGGCGGGAAAAATTCTTCATCCATTGTTTGCTCTGTTGTTTTGATTCGGGGTGAAAGTGGTGAACCCAGCTCATCTTGAGTGACAAATGTTTTGAGGAAACTGCATGAATTGGACTGAATTCGTTCCTTGAAATGTCAAGCCTGTTTAAGTTCTGATGTTCAAAAAACATTCGAGGCACCCACCATGCAGACAGTTTGTTCATCCCCAAGATGTTCGACAAAATATTGTGAACTGAGTCATAACACAGGCCAAAGAACCTGCTACATGTTGGACAGTCTCACATCTGCCATTCACTACCATGTGATGGATGGCCTCAACTGGATTGTCCGTGGTGCTGATTTGTGGCATCCTGACCTATGTTCATCTTTTGTGCTCTCCTTGCCGCGATTGTACCTAGTAACCCCGTTCTTTATATTTGAATAAGAAGGGGAGTCATCACCAAGTGTCTTGACCATGTCTTCATGGATGTCCTTAGGAGACTTTCTTTTTTATCGATACACTTGATCACAGCACACGCTTCTTTTGCGGCCATTTTGTGATTTGCCCTCACCCACCCCATTTTCACGGGGCGTCACGTGCCCATTAATGAATACAAAAATTTGAATTTTTGTGTGCAGTGATGTAAGACGTCATAGTATACAGCTATACCAAAGAATAGGAGTTTGACCTTTATTTTCTAGGTGAGGCCGAGAACTTTTTGAACACCCCTCGTATCATCAGTCATGTCAGTATTGTCAGTCAGTTGGTCCTGGGTATATAGGTTAAACTCAGTCAGGAACCTGGTAAGTAGCCTCTACCAGGCTCCAGGAAGCGGTTAGATAGACTACATGTAGAAATCGGGCAGAAAGACAGGTATCATACTAGGGGAGTTGGTCCGCCAGAGAAAACAGTTTGCCGCTCAAACTGTTCTCTCTGGCGGACCAACTCCCCTGGTATGTTATCTTATCTGTCTTTCTGTCCGATGATTTCTACTCTTTCCAGCCGCTTCGAATTCCCGAAGCCTGGTAGTAGCCTCTACCAGGCTTGAGGGCGCGGCTGGAAATAGCAGGCCGAGGGAGTTTAGCCATCCAGTTTACAGTTTGCCGGCCCACAATAATTTAGCTACTTGGCACCTATTAGTAGCGATTAGAGGACTTCAAAGAAGATAGCGATATTCCACAGGCTTGTGGGCCGGCAAACTGTAAACTGGATGGCTAAACTCCCTCGGCGTGTTATATCTCTCTATTTGGCCAATTTCTACTATTTCCAGCCGCACCCTCAAGCCTGGTAAAGGCTAGCCTGGCAGAGGCTAGAGGCAAGATCGTTTTCGGGCCCTGTAATATGTAACTCAAGATACATTTGGTTAATCTTTTCTAGAATTTGAGCTTCACATTGGCCCGATAGTCACAAATATGTATCTAGTGAAACGCTATGGCATGTCTGTTCATGCACATAGTTTCTCATAGACATAGTTTTTGTCATATTCATCATCATCACCATCATATCGTCAATTGTCTTTCTTATGTCTTCAACAATGGAAGTGAAAACTAATAACATGATCATCATCAGGTCTGGAGTCAGAGATGAGCGGATGTGCCTGTGTTGCAGGAACAGGGTATGTTTGGGTTGCCTTGTTATCTCTTTTGTCTCAAGTCAAGTATCAACGATTAAAGTGTGAATCCAAGCGAAAGCTGAAAGCATTATCAGCGTCAGTGATAGCTGTACAGTTGTCCCCGTGTTGTAGTAACAGGGTTTGTTTTCCTTTTGGTCTTCTCAAGTCAAGTATCAACAATGAAAATGTGAATCCCAGTGTTCTAGGAACAAGGTAATACTACGTTTTCTTTTGTCTTCTCAAGTCTCAATTATCTTCTCAACTATCGACAATGAAAGTGTGTATGTGAATCAGCATGATCATGATAGTTAGTGAGAGCTGTACAGTTGTCCCCGTGTTCCTTTTTGTCTTCTCAAGTCAAGTATCAACAATGGAAGTGTGAATCAGCTTGATCGTGACAGTAAGCATGACCATGGCAGTTAGGGATGTTTGGATGTCCCAGTGTTGTATGAGCAGGGTAATAATTGTACTATTCTTGTCTGCTAAAGTCTCAATAACTTTTTAGTATCTTCTCAACTATCGACAATGAAAGTGTGAATCAGCATGATCATGACAGTTAGTGAGAGCTGTACAGATGTCCCCGTGTTGTAGGAACACGGTATGTTGATGTCCTTGACGATAGGACACTTCCTGGGCCGGGCGAGCGTGTTCTGGTCGTCCGTGTGCGCGCAGGTGCCGTTGATGATCCGGAAGGCTCCGGAGTCCGCGATCCTGTGAGGGGAGAAACATCGAGAGAAATGTTAGCTCTTTCTGTCGCATGTACCAAGGAGTTTTAAAACCTCCTTTTTAAACCTCCTTGCATGTACGTATATCAGGGCTGGGGATGGCTCGAAATTAAAGGTGGTCCAGTGGCCACTGACCAATAAAATTTAGGCTGGGGTGACGAAAAAGACACTTTGGGATATTTTGGGGACAATAGAAAAATAATCAACATCAGAATGGCAGCCCTTCTTTCGTTTATCAGGCACACGTCCCGGCTTTTGGATCCAGAAAAGTCCCCCCGAATGATCTGTCTACTCTGCAATTATAGTGCGCCTGGGAGTGAACATAAGCAAAATGAAGTTGACTTCAAGTTGAAGTCTTCAATTTGAAGTCATACAATACTTCCAAAAACAGGCTGGGACAATTCGTCCTCACTTCGGGACAATCAAAATGTTATTTTTGGAACGTATGTAATAATACGGCCAACCATGAGTTGCACAAAAGGCAGCTAACCCTAGCCTACCCCCCATCGTTTGTCAATGGAACATTCCGGAAACTCCCGCTGAACAGGTGAGGTCATACCTGGACACACTTCCGCTTTCGTGGCGGTGCCAGTCGCTGGTAGGAACCACTACTTTTACCTGCAACCCGAGGATCAAGAGTACTTTTTGTCCTGCAATAAGGCTATTATTCTTCATCCTTAGCTGCTATGACAACAACACTGGGCTAAGAAGACTGAAAAAGGTGTGTAACGTTTACGTTATACATGTATGTTGACTAACGTACCGCAATGCATGCCAGAAAAAGTACGAAACCCCGACATTATTACTGGTCAATCTAAGAAGCGGTTGAAAACACGAAGAACAGATCTATAGATTGCCCTGCAATAAGGTTATTATACTTCGTCCTTAGAAGTAATGAGAACAACACCGGTCTAAGAAGACTGAAAAAGGTGTTATACATAACGTTATACATGTATGTTGACTAATAACGTGCGCCGCAATGTACGCCAGAAAAAGTACGACACCCCGACATTATTACTGGCCAATCTAAGAAACCCGTTGAAAACACGAAGAACAGATGTACAGATTGCCCTGCAATAAGGCTATCATCCTTCGTCCTTAGCTGTATTGAGAACAAGAAGACTGAAAAAGGTGTGTAACGTTAACGTTTATACATGTATGTTGACTAACGTGCCGCAATGTACGCCAGAAAAAGTACGATACCCCGACATTGTTACTGGTCAATCTTAGGCGCCCGTTGAAAACACAAAGAACAGATCAACAGATTGCCCTGCAATAAGGCTGTATTATCCTTCATCCTTAGCTGTATTGAGAACAACAACGGGCTATTAGAAGATTGAAAAAAAGGTGTGTAACGATATCATATATTAACTACGTACAGCAATGTACTCCAGAAAAAGTACTATACCCCTACATTTTACTGGTCAATCTAAGACGCCCGTTGAAAAGACGAATAACAGTTCTACCAATTGCCCTGCAATAAGGCTATTATACTTCATCCTTAGCTGTATTGAGAACAACACCGGGCTAAGAAGACTGAAAATGGTGTTATACATTACGTTATACATATATGTTGACTACGTGCCGCAATCGTACGCCAGAAAAAGGACTATACCCCGACATTGTATTGGTCAATCTAAGAAGACAGCTCTAGTACTTCTACGGTATCTAAACATGACAACACGACTCGACTGGTTAAAACGTTCATGAGAACAGTCCAGAGTCCAATTAATGCCATGCCATGATTTGGAATGCAACGAAATGGAAAGCCTGTTGTATTCCAAAGCATATGTTTGGCAATAACACACATTTGGAATGTATCACGTGTTGCCAGGTACTCAGGTAGGGGAATCCCCTGCCTGACTCACTGGTAAATCCACTGACGCTGGGCTCGCTTGGCGGCTCACTCTGTAGTTATATCAAGAAATAACCACGCTTATGACACCATAGACCTCTTCATCCCAGTACGTGCAAACCTCAATTGGTTGAGGGCTCCAGCACGGTGGGGGTGGGGGTATTGGATGGGGTGGTCGTACAAGTTTTGTGTTTGTAAGCTGTGGTCAGCAGCTCCTCTATGGGCTGGGGCGTCACTCCCTGTCCGCCACCGAAAGCAGGGTGGCGGTGAGTACCCGAATACACCTCGGGGTGGGTCATTAACCCTTCATTGAATATGCGATTATGACATGTATCTGATTCTTTACAGAATGGGTACAAGACAGTGAAGTCACTAGCACCAGCGTGACATCACAGGACGGCGATTACAGGTTTGTCACTTACTCGTATTTGACAATATGTATAATTCACCAGTTCTCTACTTTCCTATAATGCTGAATGATTCGAATACAGTAGGATTGTGCAGCACAGAGGACTTTTTAAGATTTCAATTGTTGTTAAATACTGTTCGTAGTTATGAGTACAATGTATTTTTAGTGTAATTAAAAATTGTGCTTTTAAGTAAATGTAAAGGTGTGTGTAATTCAGTTGGCAGACTTTACAGCTCCCAACATAATTTTGTAAGCAGTTTTGAACAGGGTGGAGGCAGTTAAGGGAGCTCTAGATCTGGCCATGGAAAGCCCTGATGTGATCCCAGCTTATGGCACCATTAGAATGGTTTATTATGCGATACAAACTCATCGCAGCTTATGAGCTGAATTGCGAGTTCATGTACATAATATGCAAATTTTCACAAGATGACCTATACACCTCAGGGCGGGTCATCATTCACCCTTCATTACAAACCGTTAAGGATATGCGATTATGACAATTAGCTGTTTCTTTACAGAATGTCTACAAGGCAGAGTGAAGTCACAAACAGCAGCGTGACAACACAGGACGGCGATGACAGGTTTGTCACTTAGATATGATTTGCATGAGTAAATTTTGTAATAATTTTTGTTGTTCATTTATGGCTCTGCTCAATAGCAAAAAACATGCAAAATACAGGTTGTTTATATGTTGTTTAATCATATCATATGGCAACCATATTTGTCACAGTATATACGAAGAACATCTACAAAACGGTTTCAGAGCCCTGCAGACTGGAGACCTGGACAAGGCAGAACAAAGCTTTGCATCTGCGCTCAGGTCTGTTCATGGCAAAGGTAAGTGTCGTTGGGTATGAAATATGTTCAAAGTGTCACATCAATGTTTTCCCGTTAATAGTTTCATCAGGTTGGTACGTCACTGAGTAAAGATACTCTTTCTACACAACCAGGTGTTTTATTCAGCCGTCCGTTTCAGGGACCGTTGGCCTGAGGAAGGTAATAGTTACCGAAACGTCGGCTGAACAGAAGACTTAGAAAGGTTATGTAGAAAGAGTCTCTTTAATTATTCGTTAAAATTCAAATGAAATTTTACTACAATCCTGTTGTCTCTCTACATAGCATTATTCGTCATCAAGGTGACTCAAAGAAAAGTTGTAATACGACAAAAAAACAATGATTGATTATAATGAATGAATTAATTAATTAATTTTTTTATTTAATATTTATTAATAAAGTCTTTGTGTGCCTAGATAATAGCTTAAGTGTGTAGTGTCTGGTCTATTAGTATTCCTTATTTAGCAACAATGCCACAACGACACGAAGAAGAAGTACGAAAGTGTTAATACACCTTCCACACACAGGAAAACCTGTCCTTGGTGCTGAACACCTTCCACACACAGGCAAATACATTGTACATGCACGAGGGCTAATTGCAGGTAACGTAATAGTGTAGCACTTTTAGATTTGAATCAAAAGAAACTAATGTCAGATTACCATCTTTCAATTTTTGCAGGCCAAGACAAGAAAGAGGCAGAGCCCCTGTACAGGTTAAGTGACGTCTATCTGAAGAGGGGAGTCCAGTCAAAGGAGGGGGGCGACTTCACCAAGGCTGCAGCACTCTGTAACGCAGCACTGGTAAGAGCTAGGAGAGAAGGTGCGGAGGAAACTATACAGGAAATAACTCAAGTATTTGTGAGGGAAGTCCTGAAGATTGAACAGAAGGTAGACAATGATGATACAGAGAAGCACAAGTCTATGTTAAAGGCTGATAGGGACTACGTAGAAACAGAAATTAAAAGAATTGACAAAGACTCAGAGATAGATCCATATAGCCTTGATGACGAGGACCCAGAGATAAAAGAAGTGGAAATGAAGAGAGTGGAAGCAATCAAAGCTTTGTTTCAGGCACTTGTTGGTCAGCGTAACATGTTCATAGCTGGTCTTGTAGATGAATGTATTAATGTGATGGGCCCTTCTCCCTGTAAGTACGCAATGATAGGCATGGGTTCACAAGCCACGGGATTGGTAACACCATACTCTGATGTGGAGTTCGCCATTTTGGTAGAGGAGGAAACCGTGCATAATGTCAGCTATTTCCGCAACCTCACTCATTATCTGCATCTTAAAGTGATCAATCTGGGAGAAACCATTCTCCCGGCCATGGGGATTAAGTCTCTGAATGATTTCTACTCAGACGACCCCCTGGACAACTGGTTTTATGACTCAGTAACACCGCGCGGTTTTGCGTTCGATGGGGCCATGCCGCATGCATGTAAGACTCCACTGGGCAGGGGTAGAAACAGCACAGGAACAAGCGAACTCATCTGCACACCAAGAAACATGACCAACATTCTGAAAGACGACCTTACGTTCCATTTAAAGAAAGGCTACCATCTCGCCAGTATATTGGGGAATGTGACTTTTATCACAGGAGAACAGGACTTGGTCAGCGAGTATAGGTATTTGTGGACTCAGCAACTTCTAGAAAATGATAGGAGAGTTCCGCTGATAATGGCAATTACTGTACTGGTTGATAATGTATCGACCTTTGAACATCAGTCTCTCACTTCAAGTCTAATGAATGTAAAGAAAGATTTGTATCGATTTTCGAGCCTTGCAGTGTCCTTTTGTGCGCTACGTCATAACATACAGCCAACCACTATCTGGGAGACTATTCAAGAGATGAAAAACAGTGGAGTTATCAGTAGTGGGAATGCACACCACTTAATGGTCATGGTCAGTATCGCAGCAGAACTGAGGCTGCGGACTTACATGAGCAATCGTGGTCAGGTTGAAAATATGTCAGCCTTGTCGTCTATGTCAACCGAAACGGCTATTGGGGAGGCGTTGAAGAAAGTGTTTTACGTCTCGAATACAAAGCAGCTATTAAGGTATTATTACACAGAAAGACCACTAAAACACCTTTTTTCCAAGCTGACTGACCCTCGTCAGCGTTTTGAAGAGTCTTCAATCTTCTATGATGATTCTCCAGAACTGAAAGCTGAAGTATTCAAACTTCTGTGCGATTTCCAAAATTTTAAGACATACACTGAGCAAACCCTAGATATTTATCTATCTAAGCATGGCAAATACACTGTAAACAGGAATGTTATCAACTTACTTAACGACTTGGGTAATGCTTGGAGCAACCTTGGGGATTACAGAAAGGCGGTCAGCTATCACGAACAGTCACTACAGATGAGGCAGAGTATCTATGGCGAGGGCACTGAACATTCTGATATTGCCGCCTCACTTAACAACTTGGGTAACGCCTGGAGCAACCTTGGGGATTACAGGAAGGCGGTCAGCTATTACGAACAGTCGCTACAGATGACGCGGAGTGTCTTTGGCGAGGGCACTGAGCATTCTAATATGGCTGCCTCACTTAACAACTTGGGTAACGCCTGGAGCAACCTTGGGGATTACAGGAAGGCGGTCAGCTATTACGAACAGTCACTACAGATGAGGCGGAGTATCTATGGCGAGGACACTGAGCATTCTCATATTGCCGCCTCGCTTAACAACTTGGGTACTGCTTGGGGCAAACTTGGGGATTACAGGAAGGCGGTCAGCTATTACGAACAGTCACTAGAGATGAAGCGGAGCATCTATGGGGAGGACAGTGCCCATCCTGCTATTGTCCGCTCGCTGAACAACTTGTGCGCCGCCTGGAGAGACCTTGGCGATTACAAAAAGGCCATTGAATATTTCGATAAGAAGGAACAGATGGAACAGATGATCGGAACCGCAGCTGAGTAAGCAGTACAAACATTTCCCATTCGTAGTAGCTGTGAATTACCTCCTCTACCAAAGTCGGTGTACTTTTAGTATGCAACATGCAGATTAAATGTCTAGTAATACAGCCCAATCACGTTGGACTGTGGGACACTAATACTACACATGTAATCTGTAATGTATGTAGAGATCCACACTTTTAGTTAAAAAAGATGAAAATCGAACTTCATCAGCAATATCGTATTACCCTGCCGATGGGTCCCCTTCATCATCATCATCATCATTCATCCTCCATAGTAGAGGTGGAGCATACAAAGTTAGCTCGCCACAACTGCTTGTTATACATCACTGAGAAAAGTTCATGTCCCTCCAAGCCAGTTTCGGTTTCAATAAGTTTCTTAACTGTTATGTTTGGGCGTCCAACTCTTCTCTTACCGGTATCAGGGTTCCAGAGTAGAAGCCTACTGGCTGGTTCTTCACTACGTACTACATGACCGGCCAAGCTAAGTCGTCGACATTTGACTGCTGAAGTTACATTTGGTAGCGGACCGTATAACTGTTCATTAGTAGTATGTTTCCACCATGGTGTATTGAAAACCACTCGCAACATCTTCGTGTATGTTCCGTTTAGTTTTCTAGAATGTGACATATTCATGATTCTGACCCATACAAAAGAATTATTTCAATACATGCCTTAAACACTTTGATCTTAGTTTGTTTTCTAATGGGCGCTTTCCAAATAAAGTCCTATACCTTACATGGTAGCACTACTTAATATGTCTTAGTCGTTTACCGAAATATTGTAAATAGTTTTTTATGCCTGCTGACTGTGGTTTTAATCTTCTTAAAAATGAATTTTTAGCCTTTATTGTAATAATGACAGATATTTTATTGATGATTGCTCCGAGAATATATTCCGCACGATGTAAAGTATTATTAACTAGTTGATCGTAAGTACAGTAACTTTTATTCAAATATGAGTAATTTCAAATACCTGGCGAATTTCCGTGTAATAATTTTTTAGTGATTGAATATCAGTAATTCATGAGTTAACTATTGTATAACCAGTGTAATTCAGCGCGCAATTTTGCGCGCTGCGAAACTGTGGTTTTTTTTACTGTGAGAATGAAATAAACCAATCACTACTACTACAAATCTTATGTAATGAGTGAAGAGCACTCCATGCCTGTGCGATCCGCACATCCATGTCATGAACAGTCCCCTTACAGCAATCAATCACATACGTCACGTGTAGGATAAGTCTAGAAAAACATGTATGTAGTGATTTTTTGCTCTCCAAGAATTAAGGGTTGTGAGTTTTTTTTGGCGTGTTTTAGGCTTTTTTAGCAGGGTTTCTTAATCCCCCCCAAAGCAATTTCCAGTTCAAAAGAAATCATCCCCCCCGCCAAAAAAGCCAGTGCAATAAAAAACGATTTAAAAAGCCTAAAACACATCAAAAATAACCTAATACCCAAACGAGTAGTGATGTGTACATTTTGAATGTTTTATTTTAAATGAATCTGTTCACACGCTTGAAAGGTAAATGTCACGACCTTTCTGCTTCTTATAAACATTTTTCTTCCATGTTGTTTGATTTGCATTAAATTTGTAACTGCACTGTACTTGTGTCGCGTTATGATATTAATTTAATTATGTTGCTGTAGCGGAAACATACCTTCGCTATTAGATTATGTGTTGGTAGCGTTTGTGTGTGTGTATGTGTCATTGTGTGTATGTGAGTCAGCACGATAACTTAAGAAGGATTGTCATGAGTGGTAGGTGGGTAGGTAGGAAGGCCTTGATGAGACCCCAAAATGACTAGATTTGGGGCCTCTAGCAGCTTGTTATGATACTACAACTATGGTTTGTTTGAAAATATTTGAGGGAGGATATCTCGAGATCCAGTCGACAGATCGTCATCATCTTTGGTATGTAGGTAGCTTAAATGGTGCTTGAAATAATCTAAGGACAATTTTTCAGCGCAGGATCTAATGTGCATCAATAATTTAATAATGACAACTGATAATAATTTCATACTGACACATTTGGAAATGAAGGTGAACATCATTGAACGCAACTTATTTAGGTAAGAACATCATTTGCATGATTCATGAGGAAATACTAACATAGCTTTCTTTGTTAAGATAAGACTATCATAGGCTGGAGGGTATTATCAATTGGTATGATTTTATGCAAATAAGTACTTATTTGCATAATCAATGAAAACATTTATAATTCGTCAGACATGATAACCTGTGCGAGTACGAGGTACGAGGTCGTGGAACTCTTATTGATATTTGAGAATTGAGATGCAGGCAGCCTCCGTACTTAACTCATCTGTTACATAATACATGTCGTACGTTGATGTATCTGAACTGTCCTGTTATGAGGGCTAGCCCTTAAACCCATTTCAAATTATATTTTTAACATCACAAAGAAACGAGAAGAAGCCGAACCTCTGTATTAGAGTAGTTTTAGAGCTGTTTGTACTACGACATGTATATTACCCATTTCATACCCGATAGGGCATGAATGTACAATAAAGGTTATTATTATTATTATTCATAATAGCCCCCGGTTAGTTGGGCAGTCCTGGCTATGTATTTGTTTATATACAGTTCAATAAATCAAATCGACTCAACTAAGGTCCAGCGTATGTAAAAATACGAGCAACCATACGAGTTGAACAAAAGGCAACTAACCCTACTATACCCCCTATCGTTTGTCAATGGAACATTCCGGAAACTCCCGCTGAACAGGTGAGGTCATACCTGGACACTTCCGCTTTCGCGGTGCCAGTCGCTGGTAGGAACCACTACTTTTACCTGCAACCCGAGGATCAGGAGTGTTTTTTGTCCTGCAATAAGGCTATTATTCTTCACCCTTAGAAGTAATGAGAACAACACCGGCCTGCGAAGACTGAAAAACGTATGTAACGTTATCATATGTTGACTAACGTACCGTAATGTACTCCAGAAACTTGAAAGTACGATACCCCGACATTATTACTGGTCAATCTAAGACGCCCGTCCCGTTGAAAACACGAAGAACAGATTAACAGATTGTCCTGCAATAAGGCCTTTACCCTTCATCCTTAGAAGTAATGAGAACAACACTGGGCTAAGAAGACTGAAAAAGGCATGTAATGTTTACGTTATACATGTTTGTTGACTACGCGCCGCAATGTAATATAGAAAAAGTACGATACCCCGACATTATTACTGGGCAGTCCTAGAAGCCCGTTGAAAACACGAAGAACAGATCTACAGATTGCCCTGCAATAGGCTATGGCTTCATCCTTTAGAAGTATTGAGAACAACACCGGGCTAAGAAGACTGAAAACTGAGGTGTGTAACATTATATGTTGGCTGCGTGCCGCAATGTACGCCAGAAGAAGTACGATACCCTGACATTATATTGGTCAATCTAAGAAGCCCGTTGAAAACACGAAGAACAGATGTACAAATTGTCCTGCAATAAGGCTTTTATACTTCGCCCTTAGCTGTATTGAGAACAACACCGGCCTAAGAAGACTGAAAATGGTGTTATACATTACGTTATACATGCATGCTGACTACGTGCCGCAATGTACGCCAGAGAAAGTACGATACCCCGACATTATATTGGTCAATCTAAGAAGGCAGTTCTACGGTATCTAAACATGACAACACGACTCGACAGCGTGGTCAGCCACGTTAGAACAGTCCATAGTCCAATTAATGCTATGCCAAGATTTGGAATGCAACGAAATGGGAAGCCTGCCCTGTTGTATTACAAAGCATAGTTTGGCAAAAACACCTTTTGGAATGCATCACGTGTTACCAGGTAATGGTAGGGGAATCCCCTGACTCACTGGTAAGTCCACTGACGCTGGGCTCGAATGGCGGTTCTGTCTGTATTTTTTTTCATTATTTACTTCATGATTCACCACTAAACAAGTTTTGGGTTACTGTACAGCCATTGATGCCAGATGTTTGTTGACCTTAGACTTGAAAAAAAAGCCAGGCTTGTAACATTACGCCTATCTGAGAGTAGTTGTTGGCCAAAAAGGTAGCGTACAAGTCACTCCAAACAAGATTTTGTAAGCGGGTTTGAACTGGGTTGAGGCAGGCTAGGGGGTTTTGGGCAGCATCATTCAAAGATTTTAAAGATATGCGTTTATGACAATTATCTGATTCTTTACAGAATGGCTACAAGCCAGAGAAAAGTCACAAACAGAAGCGTGACAACACAGGACGGCGATGACAGGTTTGTCACTTACTCGTATTTTAAGTGCAATTCACCAGTTCCCTACTTTGATAGACTGCTGAATGATTATAATACAGCCTGATTGTGCAGCACGGGGGATTTTTTTAGATTTCAATTGTTGTTAAATGCTGTTTGTAATTATGGGTATTTTTAGTGTAATTCAGAATTGTGATTTGAAGTACAATGTCATGTAAATGAGTGTGTGATTCAGTTGGCTGACTGTGAAATGCTTCACAGCTCCAAACATAATTTTGTAAGCAGTTTTGAACTCGGTTGAGACAGTTAAGGGAGCTCTGGAAAAATCCAGCCTAGATGTGACCCCACCATATGACACCATATGCACCTCGGGACGGGTCATTATCCATTCATTAAAAACTTTTAAGGATATGCGATTATGAAAATTATCTGTTTTTTTACAGAATGGCTACAAGCCAGAGTGAAGTCACAAACAGCAGCGTGACAACACAGGACGGCGATGACAGGTTTGTCACTCACTCGTATTAACAACAAGTTAGACTTGCTAGACTGCTGAATGATTCGAATACAGTCGGATTGTGCAGCACAGAGGACTTTTTAAGATTTAAATTGTTGTTAAATGCTGTTCGTAATTATGAGTATTTTTAGTGTAATTCAGAATTGTGATTTTAAGTACAATGTCATGTAAATGAGTGTGTAATTAAGTTGGCTGACTGTGAAATGCTTCACAGTTGGCTCCCAACATAATTTTGTAAGCAGTTTTGAACTCGGTTGAGACAGTTAAGGGAGCTCTGGAAAGATCCAGCCTAGATGTGACCCCACCATATGACACCATATGCACCTCGGGACGGGTCATTATCCATTCATTAAAAACTTTTAAGGATATGCGATTATTACAATTAGCAGGGAGCTCTGAAAAGATCCAGCCCAGATTTCACCCACTATATGACACCATTAACACCTCGGGGCGGGTCTTTATTAACCCTATATTAAAAAATATGCGATTATTACAATTAGCTGTTTTTTTACAGAATGGCTACGAGACAGAGTGAAGTCTCAGACAGCAGAGTGACAACACAGGACGGCGATGACAGGTTTGTCACTCACTCGTATCAGACAACAAGTATAATTCACCAGTTTCCTACTTTGTTAGACTGCTGAATGATTCGAATACAGCCTAATTGTGCAGCACGGAGGGTTTTTAAGATTTCAATAATTGTTGTTAAATACTGTTCTTAATTTTGAGTATTTTAGTGTAATTCAGATTTGTGATTTGAAGTACATTCAAGTAAATGAGTGTGTAATTCAGTTGGCAGACTGTGAAATGCTTCACAGCTAGCTCCCAACATAATTTTGTAAGCAGTTTTGAACAGGGTGGAGGCAGTTAAGGGAGCTCTAGATCTGGCAAGCCCTGATGTGATCCCACCTTATGGCACCATTAGAATGGTTTATTATGCGATACAAACTCATCGCAGGTTATGAGCTGAATTGCGAGTTCACATACAACTTTTCACAGGATGACATATACACCTCAAAGCGGGTCATTAACCCTTCATTAAAACTATATTTTATGACAATTATCTGTTTCTTTACAGAATGGCTACAAGCCAGAGTGAAGTCTCCAACAGCAGTGTGACAACACAGGACGGCGATGACAGGTTTGTTACTTACTCGTATTAACTACAAGTTTGTAATTCACCAATCCCCTACTTTGCTAGACTGCTGAATGATTCGAATACAGCCTAATTGATACTGTTCGTAATTATGAGTATTTTTAGTTTAATTCAGAATTGTGATTTTAAGTACATGTAAATGAGTGTGTAATTGAGCTGGCAGACTGTGAAATGCTTCGCAGTTGGCTCCCAACATAATTTTGTAAGCAGTTTTGAACTCGGTTGAGACAGTTAAGGGAGCTCTGGAAAGATCCAGCCTAGATGTGACCCCACCATATGACACCATATTCACCTCGGGGTGGGTCATTATCCATTCATTAAAAACTTTTAAGGATATGCGATTATGACAATTATCTGTTTCTTTACAGAATGGCTACAAGCCAGAGTGAAGTCTCAGACAGCAGCGTGACAACACAGGACGGCGATGACAGGTTTGTCTCTTACTCGTATTAGGTAACAAGTGTAATTGACAAGTTCCCTACTTTGCTACACTGCTGAATGATTCGAATACAGCTTGATTGAGCAGCATTAAGATTCCAATTGTTGTTAAATGCTGTTTGTAGTTATGAGTATTTTTATTGTAATTAAAAATTGTGATTTTAAGTAAATATAAAGGAGTGTGTAATTCAGTTTACAGACTGTGAAATGCTTCACAGTTGGCTCCCAACATAATTTTGTAAGCAGTTTTGAACTCGGTTGAGGCAGTTAAGGGAGCTCTGGAAAGATCCAGCCCAGATGTCACCCACCATATGACACAATTAACACCTTGGGGTGTGTCATTAACCGAACACTAAAAACTTATTTCTTAAATCGAATCAATTCGCAACAGATATCCAATCATGAACGGGGCCTAATTAGAGAGGGAGCTCTGGGTAGATTCATTGAAAGCTTTTAAGGATATGCGATTATGACAAAAAGCTGTTTCTTTACAGAATGGCTACAAGGCAGAGCGAAGTCTCCAACAGCAGCGTGACAACACAGGACGGCGATGATAGGTTTGTTACTCACTCGTATTAACAACAAGTGTACGTATGTAATTCACCAGTTTCCTACTTTGCTAGACTGCTGAATGATAAAAAACAGGCTAATATAGGGGGATTTTTTTTTTTAGATTTCAATTGTTGTTAAATACTGTTCGTAATTTTTATTTTATTTTATTTATTTCATTTATTTATCCAGGTGATACATATCGCCTTGTCGGCGTTTTTCAATGATACCTGGGGGTAAACCCCAACATAGTAAAATACAAAGTAACTGAGGATAAAATACAATAATAAATAAGAAGAAAATAATCACTATATACAGGTGTGAAATAAATCATAAGGTAACATAAAGAATCCAACCAAAAAAAATAAGTTAAAGCGAAAGGAATTTGCATATCAATGGAAATTATCTCACAAGCATAAATCAAACAAAATCATATTAATTGTGAGTATATTTGGTGTAAGTCAGAATTGTGATTTTATGTACAATGTCATGTATTACTAAATGAGTGAGTAATTCAGTTGGCAGACTGTGAAATGCTTTACAGCTCCCAACATTATTTTGTAGACAGTTTTGAACAGGGTGAAGGCAGTTAAGGGAGCTCTAGATCTGGAAAGCCCTGATGTGATCCCACCTTATGGCACCATTAGAATGGTTTATTACGCGATGCAAACTCATCGCAGGTTATGAGCTGAATTGCGAGTTCATGTTCACATACAACTTTTCACAGGATGACATATACACCTCAGAGCGGGTCATTAACCCTTCATTAAAGGATATGAGATTATGACAATTAGCTGATTCTTTACAGAATGGCTACAAGACAGAGTGAAGTCTCCAACAGCAGTGTGACAACACAGGACGGCGATGACAGGTTTGTCACTTACCCGCATTAACAACAAGTGTAATTCAGCGATTCCCTACTTTGCTAGACTGCTGAATGATTCAAATACAGCCGGATTGTGCAGCACGGGTTTTTTTTAGATTTCAATTGTTGTTAAATACTGTTCTTAATTTTGAGTAATTCAGAATTGTGATTTTAAGTACAATGTCATGTAAATGAGTGTGTGATTTAGTTGGCTGACTGTGAAATGCTTCACAGCTCCCAATATAATTTTGTAAGCAGTTTTGAACTCGGTTGAGACAGTTAAGGGAGCTCTGGAAAGATCCAGCCTAGATGTGACCCCACCATATGACACCATATGCACCTCGGGACGGGTCATTATCCATTCATTAAAAACTTTTAAGGATATGTGATTATGACAATTAGCTGATTCTTTACAGAATGGCAACAAGTCAGAGTGAAGTCACAAACAGCAGCGTGACAACACAGGACGACGATGACAGGTTTGTCACTCACTCGTATTAGACAAGTGTAAAAGGGCCTTTTGCGTTTTTATCCCCGGCACATACTAGTATATCGACGATATGACAAGTTTGAAGTTCTATAATGTTATGCATGGATTTGAATTTCTTTAAATTTACAATTGATATTGATATACACTTGATATTTGTGATACTTGAAATAGTTTATGTTTACTTGGATAAATGCTTTGCCCTAAAATAGGTATGATTAGCATGAGTACATTTTGTAATGGTTTGTCGTTTATTTCTTTTATTTTATTCACATGTATTTATGAGCATTAGATAGCAAGCACATTCGTACACGAATATAAAACATGCAAAATACAGGTTATTTTACGGTGTCGTTTATATCATATCATAATTATATTTGTCACAGTATATACGAAGAACATCTACAAAATGGCTTCAAAGCCCTGCAGACTGGAGACCTGGACAATGCAGAGCGAAGCTTTGCATCGGCGCTCAGGTCTGTTCATGTCAAAGGTAAGTGTTTTTGGGTAAGAAATATGTTCAAAGTCACTGAGTAAAGATACTTTTTCTACACAACGATGTGTTTTCCTTAGCCGACGTCTGCCCTTAACAAGATGACAGACGGTCACCGAAACATAAGCTAAATAAACGACTTGGTCGTGTAAAAAGAGTACCTTTTTTTTCTCGTTCATTGTTTTTGTCCACAAATTAAATTTTACCACAAACCTGGTGTCTCTATATATGCATGTAAAATCGTCATCAAGAAAAAAAGTAACACCAATGACTGAGCTGTACACAAAGATCTTAAAGTGTGTAGATTAGCATTGTTTATTCATGAACGATGCCACAATAATGCGAAAAGATCTACGAAAGAGTTTCAATAGAATACCACTTTTATATTTGAATCAAAAGAAAATAAAAATGTCACATTACCATCAACAACCTTTAGACATTTTATTTACAGGTCAACACAAGAAAGAGCTAGAGGCAGATCCCCTGTACAGGTTAAGTGACGTCTATCTTAAGAGAGGAGTCCAGTCAAAGGAGGGGGGAGACTTCACCAAGGCTGCAGCACTCTGTAACGCAGCACTGGTAAGAGCTAGGAGAGAAGATGCGGAGGAAACTATACAGGAAATAACTCAAGTATTTGTGAGGGAAGTCCTGAAGATTGAACAGAAGGTAGACAATGATGATACAGAGAAGCACAAATCTATGTTGGAGGCTGATAGGGACTACGTAGAAACAGAAATTAAAAGAATTGACAATGACTCTGAGATAGATCCATATAGTCTTGATGACGAGGACCCAAAGATAAAAGAAGTGGAAATGAAGAGAGTGGAAGCAATCAAAGCTTTGTTTCAGGCACTTGTTGGTCAGCGTAATATGTTTATAGGTGGTCTTGTAGATGAATGTATTAAGGTGATGGGTCCCCCTCCCTGTAAGTACGCCATGATAGGTATGGGTTCACAGGCCACGGGATTGGTCACCCCATACTCTGATCTGGAGTTCGCCATTTTGGTAGAGGAGGAAACCGAGCATAATGTCACCTATTTCCGCAACCTCACTCATTATCTGCATCTCAAAGTGATCAATCTGGGAGAAACCATTCTCCCGGCCATGGCGATTAAGTCTCTGAATGATTTCTACTCAGACGACCCCCTGGACAACTGGTTTTATGACTCTGTAACACCGCGCGGTTTTGCGTTCGATGGAGCCATGCCGCATGCATGCAAGACTCCATTGGGTAGGGGAAGAAACAGCACAGGAACAAGCGAACTCATCCGCACACCAAGTAATATGACCAACATTCTGAAAGACGATCTTACGTTCCATTTAACGAAAGGCTACCATCTCGCCAGTATATTGGGAAATGTGACTTTTATCACAGGAGAGCAGGGCTTGGTCAGTGAGTATAGGTCTTTGTGGACTCAGCAACTTTTAGAAAGTGATAGGAGAGTTCCGCTGTTGATGGCAAATACTGTACTGGTTGATAATGTATCGATCTTTCAACATCAGACTCTCACTGCTAGTCTGATGAATGTAAAGAAAGATTTGTATCGATTTTCGAGCCTTGCAGTGTCCTTTTGGGCGCTACGTCATAACATACAGCTAACCACTATCTGGGAGACTATTCAAGTGATGAAAAACAGTGGAGTCATCAGTAGTGAGAATGCACACCACTTACTGGTCATGGTCAGTATCTCAGCAGAACTAAGGCTGCGGACTTACATGAGCAATCGTGGTCAGGTTGAAAATATGTCAGCCTTGTCGTCTGTGTCAATCGAAACGGAAATTGGGGAGGCGTTGAAGAAAGTGTTTTACGTCTCGAATACAAAGCAGCTATTAAGGTATTATTACACAGAGAGACCACTAAAACGCCTTCTTTCACAGCTGGCTGGCCCTTATCAGCCTTTTGAAGAGTCTTCAATCTTCTATGACGATTCTCCAAAACTGAAAGCTAAAGTATTCGAAAGTCTGTGCGATTTCCAAAATTTTAAGACATACACAGAACAGGCACTAGACAATTATCTATCTCCGCATGGCAAATACACTGTAGACAGGAATGTTATGAAATTACTTAACGACTTGGGTAATGCTTGGAGCAACCTTGGGGATTACAGAAAGGCGGTCAGCTATCACGAACAGTCACTACAGATGGAGCGGAGTATCTATGGCGAGGGTACTGAACATTCTACTTATATTGCGGCCTCACTTAACAACTTGGGTGAGGCGTGGAGCAACCTTGGGGATTACAGGAAGGCGGTAAGCTATCACGAACAGTCACTACAGATGGAGCGGAGTATCTATGGCGAGGGTACTGAACATTCTTATATTGCGGCCTCACTCAACAACTTGGGTAACGCCTGGAGAAACCTTGGGGATTACAGGAGGGCGGTCAGCTATTACGAACAGTCACTACAGATGAGGCGGAGTATACATGGCGAAGGCACTGAACATTCTGATATTGCCACCTCACTTAACAACTTGGGTATGGCCTGGAGTGACCTTGGGGATTACAGAAAGGCGGTAAGCTATCACGAACAGTCACTACAGATGGAGCGGAGTATCTATGGCGAGGGCACTGAACATTCTGGTATTGCCGCCTCACTTAACAACTTGGGTACGGCCTGGAGTGACCTTGGGGATTACAGGAAGGCGGTCAGCTATTACGAACAGTCACTACAGATGAGGCGGAGTATCTATGGCGAAGGCACTGAACATTCTGATATTGCCGCCTCACTTAACAACCTGGGTAGCGCATGGGACGACCTTGGGAATTACAGGAAGGCGGTCAGCTATTACGAACAGTCACTACAGATGATGCGGAGTATCTATGGCGAGGGTACTGAACATTCTGATATTGCCAAATCACTTCACAACTTGGGTATCGCCTGGAGAAACCTTGGGGATTACAGGAAGGCGGTCAGCTATCACGAACAGTCACTGCAGATGAGGCAGAGTATCTATGGTGAGGGTACTGAACATTCTGATATTGCCCACTCACTTAACAACTTGGGTAATGCCTGGGGCAACCTTGGGGATTACAGGAAGGCGGTTAGCTATCACGAACAGTCACTTCAGATGAGGCGGAGTATCTATGGCGAGACTACTGAACATTCTGATCTTGTCGCCTCACTTAACAGCTTGGGTAACGCCTGGAGTGACCTTGGGGATTACAGGAAGGCAGTCAGCTATTACGAACAGTCGCTACAGATGGAGCGGAGAATATATGGCGAGGGCACTGAGCATTCTGATATTGCCGCCTCACTTAACAACTTGGGTTCCGCCTGGAGTAACCTTGGGGATTACAAGAAGGCTATCAGCTATTACGAACAGTCACTACAGATGAAGCGGAGTATATATGGCGAGGGCACTGAACATTCTGATATTGCCGCCTCACTTAACAACTTGGGTAACGCCTCGTGCAATATCGGGGATTACAGGAAGGCGGTCAGCTATCACGAACAGTCACTGCAGATGAAGCATAGTATCTATGGCGAGGATACTGAACATTCTGATATTGCCGACTCACTTAACAACTTGGGTGCCGCTTGGAGCAAGCTTGGGGATTACAGGAAGGCGGTCAGCTATCACGAACAGTCACTACAGATGAGGCGGAGTATCTATGGGGAGGGTACTGAACATTCTGATATTGCCGACTCACTTAACAACTTGGGTACCGCCTGTAGCGAGCTTGGGGATTACAGGAAGGCGGTCAGCTATTACGATCAGTCACTACAGATGAGGCGGAGTATCTATGGCGAGAGCACTGAGCATTCTGATATTGCCGCCTTACTTAACAACTTGGGTAACGCCTGGAGCAAGCTTGGGGATTATAGAAAGGCGATCAGCTATCACGAACAGTCACTACAGATGATGCAGAGTATCTATGGCGAGGGCACTGAACATTCTAGTATTGCCGCCTCACTTAACAACTTGGGTAACGCCTGGAGAAATCTCGGTGACTACAGAAGGGCGGTCAGCTTTTACGAGAAGTCATTAGAGATGAGGCGGAGTATCTATGGGAAGGACAGTGCCCATCCTGATATTGTCCGCTCGCTGAACAACTTGTGCGCCACTTGGAGAGACCTTGGTGATTACAAAAAGGCCATCGAATATTTCTTTAAGAAGAAACAGATGGAACAGATGCTCGGAACCGCAGCTGAGTAATCAGTACAAACATGCCCCATTCTTAGTAGCTGTGTATGAACTCCTCTACCAAAGTTGGTGTACTTTTACTATGCAACATTTTGTAAAGGGAGCAGATTATAGGCCTAAGAATTTAGCGCAATCACATCGGATTGTTGGGCTCTAAATAGTACAAATGTAATCTGTAACATATCTGGCGTGTTACGCCGAAGGGTGTGGCTATACCCCTACAGATGCGTACGTAGAGATCGATACATTTAGTTAGTTACTATGAAAATTCGAACTTCATCAGCAATATCTTATTACCCTGCCGAGTTCCCAGACAGGAATCCAACGAATACATGTGTAGGTAAGGTCTAGCTAGACATGAATGTAGTGATTTGTTGCTCTCAAAGTAGAGGTTTGGGTTTTTGGGGTCATTTTTGGCGTGTTTTTATTTTATTTTTTTAAATCGGGGTTTCTTTTTTGCACTC